AAAAAAAAAAAAAAAAAAAAAAAAAAAAAAAAAAAAAAAAAAAAAAAAAAAAAGAGAAGTAAGAGAGGGGGGGGGGGGGGGACCAAATCAGTATAAATTGCAAGAAAGAAACCACTTGCTTAAAAAAACAGCAATTTTAAGGCTTAAAAATACTTTTTTTTTCCTTTTCAAAAAGAAATAGTTAATTCATATCTAAAAAAAACATGGAACTCAAAGGGGGGGGTTAGAGAGAGGTGGGTTTTAAGTTGCGGGGGTGGGGGGCTGGAGGTCCCCCCCGCCCTATTTAGACAAAAATTGAGGTGTCACTTTAAAAACCAGGCAAAAGCTGAATTGCGCTGGGCTCTCCTGCAAAGCCCCCTTTCCCTCTTCGCGTGGGGGGTGGCAACCGTTTGTGGGGGGGGGCTCGTAGTTCTGGTTTCGGGAGGATGGAAGCAGAGCTTAGCTGTGGATCAGGTTAATAATGGGGTTTCTTTCCAGCTTTTTGGGGGGGGCTTTCAAAAAGGCCGTCTCTGGGCATTTCTCTGGGCGCAGAGTCTGTCCTGCGCCTCCCCCGAGGCAGGACCGAGGAAGAGGGGAGAAAAGCAAGGGCGGAAGCTCGTTTTCTCTAGGGGTGCCCTTCAAGGGTTGTGGATGCCAGCGGGCTGGGGATGATGGGAACCAAAGTCCTGCACAGATGATAAGGACCTTTGACGGTGCCCTCTGAGAAACGAAGCTGGTTGTGCCAGAGCTCGCTGGCCTGTGGAAGGAAGGCCTTGATTGCTACAGGGGGATCGAGCCCGGGGGGACCCCCCGCCACTGTACGCCTGAGATTTAAAAGCTGCATAACGCGCTCTTTGCTCTGCCTGGGGAAGGCCGCTTCTAAAGCTCTGGGACGCGCCCCCGTGTGACAAACGCGTCCCCTGCAAATCACCTCTTCCCCCACGGAGGGTCAGCTCCTGCGCCCCGTGCGCCAACCAGGAGCCAAAGCCAGAAACCTTTCCGGTTTCTGTTGATGCTCCTGCTGGTCACCTAGAGGTGAACTGGGGTAACGGGTGGGCGACAACACAATGGGAGGGACTGACTTATGGCTGGGGGGGCGAGGAGTGGGAGTGGCAAAGGTAAAAGCGAGGAGCCCTGGCGCCCTCTCCCTCGAAGACTCACTTGGCCAGGTTGCACCCCAGCCGACCAAATGCAATTTTTCCCAACACACTGGGAATATAGCGCCCCAACCACCTAGCCGTAGCTTGGACGTGGCTGAAACACATTTTGCATGGAAGCGACGGACACCCCCCCCGCTGCGTGTCTCCTAGAGCCAGGCCCTCTTTCGCTGCCAAGACCGGTGCCAATCTCCACGTCTTTCATTCAAGACGGAGCCCATCCAACAGTTTGGAGGAGACACAGGCCACCCGGGCGTCCAACCCGTGTCCGACGCAGTGGACGTTCGCGACGTACTGTTGCAAGTGCTCCCACTCTTCCCCCCCACCCAACGTGCACGGGGTCTCCCCGCCGAGTTTTGCAATCTTCCCAAAACTTCCCGTTTCTGGAAAAAGAACAGAGGTGCCTTTCGGTTTTCCCACCACACGGGCCCATGATTCTCGCTCGCGTTCCTCCAGCGGTGCAGGGGTACAGCGTGCAGCCCGTGGCCCTGTTGCGCCCGCCAGGCTGTGGCTGCTTCCACGTTGGCAGGTCTCCTTCCGATTTAGCACCAAGTACCTTGCTGTACTGTCCTTGTCCCGGAGGATCCCACGATGGCTTCAGCCTGGAGTCCAGAGGGATTTCGTGCTCCGTGCCATAAGGGCATTAGAAATCTCTGCGCCAATGTTTTTTTTTGGGGGGGGGATGATCTGAAATAAGAAAAGCGAGGGAATGCGGGGAAAAACAATGCAGCTTTCCCAGAAGAACGGTGCCCCGGGAGAAGCGAGGCGGGGAGGGTGAAAGTGCTGTGGAATTGTCTTTGGTTGTCCCCAAAACCGAAGAGGACACATCCCCTCCACAAACATAGTCAAGGCCCGAGGTTGCTCGGGGGTGGGGGGAGCCAGATTGGGGTCTCTTGGTCCTCCTGAGCACAGTGCTGTACACCACCAAGGAATCTGAGGAAGCAGCATGGGGAGAGGAGAGCGGTGGGTTGCATAATCCCAAGATCTCCTCCAGTCTCCCAGTTTCTGGAATTGGTGAAGGTCCTTCGCACGAGGGGAGCGCCGCTCTCCGCGTTTCAGATGAGGGATATCCGAACGGGGATGCCGGGGGACTCCGTCCTCTGAGGAGAGTGCTGGCTCACGAGGTGCTCCACCACCGTGTGTTTCGACATGTGCTTCATCAAGTAGGTCTCCTAGGGAGGAGAGGACAACCACAGAGGGGAAGTTGAGGCAGGGGGACAGTGCCCAGCTTGGAAAAACGCACCGGGTCGGCTCCGTGCAGCGAGGCCCGATGCACCCACCGGTCCTGCTGGAGGCACCGGGAGGACGTCCCCGTTTCCTGAGCCGCAATACGACAGGTTAACCACGGGTGGGAGGGTCGGTAGCTTCAGCGCCAGGAACGGCCTTTCAAATGTCACCCCTTCCAACTTGGGCCCTTCGAATTCCCCCCAGTTTAAGGCCCGTCCGTGGGCAGCCATGATCTTTCACCTCTGCATTAAGGCTTGGCGTTTGCAGGAAACCTCGCCAGCGAACCACCCTTGCCCAACCCTGGCTTGCCCAACCCTGACTCTCCCCCACCGCAAACCCGCCGGGGGGGCTTACTTACTGAAGTATAGGCTCGCCCGCACATGCTGCAGCAGTAGGCCTTCGCGTGCTTGATTGCATGCGCCGAGAGGTGGATCTGGAGCGAAGCCGAATCCGAGTACGCCCGGTAGCAATTTGGACACTTATACGGTTTGTCTTTATTATGCTGCCGTTGGTGTGACTGGAGGGCGGTGGGGAGGAAATTGAGTGGCATCAGGTAAACCAGCAACGAACAGTCCAAGGCCGCCCAGCCTGCAACAGCGAGACTCCAGAGCCGGTGGCAGTCTACCTGAAAGCCTCCAGTGCACCCCGTCCCACCTCCCCGAGCTACTGCCACATTGTCACATAAATGGATCTGCGGATGATGACAGAGAGTCCCTCCTAACCCTGCATTTCCTCAATTGCACGAATGGAAAGCCAAGGGACACCATTCAAATTGTACCGAGAGACACCGAGTTGCCCTGACACAGAATATTTCCCTGGCAGGAAACCAGATGTCAGTTTCTTGCGTGAAAGAAGAGACAGATCCGCCGTGGGCAGACTTAGGTTTTTCAAACCTGGCCACTTTAAGAGGCGGGGACTTCAGCCCCCAGACCCCCCCAGCCGGCAGGGGAATTCTGGCCGTTGAAGTCCACGCCTCTCGCAGTGGCCGAGTTTGACCAAAACTATTTAGATTTTGCCCTGCCTCCAGTTTTTCTCCTTGTGGCACAGACGTTCTGCAACCGAGCTGGGGTCCAGCTTCCCGTCTAGCCCCCCCCGTCCCCCCGGATTCCCCCACTGACCTGGAGGTTAGAGAGCTGTGTGAAAGCCTTTTCGCAACCGGCGTGCGGGCACTTGTAAGGTCTGTCTCCAGTATGAATTCTGAAACGCAGCAAGACAGAGGAGACGTTTCGCTAAGCCATCTGAACCCTGGCTGGAAACGACGGAGCGAGCGGACGCCTTCTTCGCCCAAGCTCCTATTTCACGCTGGGGTTTCGAGCAGCAAAGATTACACCAGTGTTTCTCAACCTTGGCAACTTGAAGCGGGGTGGACTTCAACTCCCAGAATTCCCCAGCCAGCAT